TGTACACCAAACAGGCTCTTAATTAACAATTTCCTAGAAAACAAGTTCTAGATAATTATTTTCTCTGAAATTCATTTTCTTTCCACCCATTTTCAACCCTTGCATTCAAACGGACCCTTATAGTAAACCATATGAAAGTCACGTGACTTTTTTTCAAAATAGACTTGCCTATAGACCAAGGTGCAACATATTAGACCCTGTTTGATATACATTATTTTTTTCATTTTCATTCTTCTACTCATTTTCAACCACACATTCTTTAATAAAATAATATTTTTCATCACATCAATAACTTTTCCTTCTTTTTCAACCACATATTTCTCATCGCATCAACAGTAAAAATGCATTCTTACCTTCAAAATATGCACCAAACGGTTGCTAAATAGATGGGGCTCAAATTGCCAATATCTATAGGTTGAACTTCAACGACCCTGCTGGTTTAACCAATAACCCATCTGTTGAACAAATGACTCGCTAATTCAGTGCTTTGATCGAGTCAATGACTAAACCAAGTCTCAAAATCATAAACGAGTAAAAAGAGCTGTATTGTACCATTAAACACCCTAAATATATTTATTATGTGAAATACTATCCGTGTTGTTATCAACTTTCCGAACAATACCTAACATTTGAATTTAACAAAGACCCAATAATTGCTTTTCCATTTGTCCATCCATCCCTATGTTCCCACATTCAATTCTACATTTCATGTACCTCGTGGGATGCATGGCTATGTAACACTCGACTAAAAAATTGTGAGTTCTATATTTTAAATATTAATCTATTGACTAACATGACAGTTTGTAATTGCTTATGTAGTTCTCAAGAAATTTGAATTTACTTTTATTGGAAGTCAATATTTAGCCTTTTTCAATGTTAAAGTTCAATGTTATGTACGCTGACTAATTTTTATTAGACAACTTCTTGTTTGTGTTCATAAATTTGGACGGTGTTTGTCATTTTGTATTAGAATTAAACCTATCGTGTGTTATATAGTTGTTTCGTTTCAAACATTAGGAGAGTAAAAATGGTTTTTTGAAATTATGAGGATGTTGAAACTTTGAATCGTGGTAGAATCATTTGGTTCGCTTCTATTTGAAATCAGACCTGAAATAATCATAAATTTTAAAATAGTTCATTATCACGAGTATGAGTTGCTTTTTGAGACCCTGAAACTTTTTACTTAATAGATGAGGCCGGAGTTGCCAATTTCGACATGTCGAAGACTTCATATAGCAATCACCATGTTAAGTTTTTTATTTTATTTTTTAACCACGCATTCTCCAAAAATTCAATATTCAAAACAATATTTTTCAAAAAATAAAAATAAAAAATGACCACCAAATCGGACCTCAAGACTTCCTAAACAATTTTTAATTAATTAGATAGATAGGTTTTCATTGAAGTTTGTACAATTTTTTAAATCACTAGCAATATGCTTAGAATATTAAATTAAACATAACTGTACGCAACATTTTAATAAACCCTATCACAAAAATATGTTGTCATATTAATTACACAACCTAAATAGTAAATGCTAGCCGTGTTCTTTAAGTTCCATACCATACCTAACATTTGAATTTAGCAAAGTCAATAATTGCTTTTCATTTGTCCAAATGGGTTCGACTATCCCACGTTCGATTCTACACTTGATGCACCTCGTGGGATGCATGGATTTGTGAAACTCGACTAAAACATTTTGTAAATTTCGTATCATAAAGATTGATTAATTGAGTACTATGAAAGATTGTAATTGTCAATGTAGTAGTACAATCGAGAAGATTGAATTTACTTTTATTGTGGTCGAAATTTAGCCTTCTAGAAAATAAAATTTGAATGTTGTGTCATACCAACACAAACATAATGAAAAACTCGCGATAATTAGGAGCTGAGTTATGGGAGGACAATTTTTATTTTCTATCATTCTATTACATAGAAGGAAAAAGGGTAATTAGCAGAAATGGT